GTTTGGGTAACAGGCGACGAGCAGCTGGTGCCGCCCGCCCGCCCGCTGTCGGTCTAAACCAGGTTTACCCCTACCGTGACGGCACCGGGCCGGCTCCGTGACCCGCAGTAAGTTTCTCGGTCTGTTAAAGCAGGGGGAGTCGGTGGCGTCACCTTTGGTCGGGTTTAAACATAAGCTCCGTTCGCTTCGCATCAGGCAAGCGAGCAGGCGAATGCAGTTACAAAATGGCCTGGCGGTTCCGTGTCATGAGGCTGCCGTGATTATTTCTGCCCCGCTCTGACAGCGCGGCATATGCCGGCCTGGTGATGCCACCGCCGGCCTGCTGCCACTGCTGCGCGGCGCGCGAAGGCGGGCTGCGGGCTCCCCACGCCAAGTGTTTTACCAGGTGACGCGTGTGGCCGGGGCCACGCTGGGGCTCCGCTACCTGAAGTTTGGTTTTCAGCCAGTTGCAGACCGGTACGTGCTTGGTGATTAGATGGCAGCCCGGTGATGGTCCTCTCGATTAATCGGAGACGTCGTGTTTTAGACCCGTAACTGCAACTCTGCACGTGGTATTTGAGTTAATGTTTAGATTCTCTGGTTCCCGGGGTTTTTTTTAGAAGTTCATTCAGTCTTTTGCTATTGGTGTCCTTTACTTTAGGACTTCATCCTCCTCTTGCTATAGATCTGTTGCTACTCAAGACGGTTCAACAGGATACGCACGACGGCATATTAAACACAGATGCACAAGAATAAAGTAAGACGTCAAGAACACAGAAGCAGATGGCAGTAACTCCAGGTTTAGCACTGTATTCTTGTTACGTGTCGTCTTTAGCTACAGCTATTTCCCAATTCCATTAAATAATCCTCTCATACAAGCACATAAAGCAAAGTTGCGTTTAAAGTATTCTTTCCGCTCTCGTTTTCCAGCTTTTTCAGTGGAAGCATAATAGTGGTGTGAACATGTGCCAGACTGATAGCGGAATATGCCTTTGTGAAATTGCTCTGCAGGTTACTATGGTTGTAAATATTTCGTCAGATTTCCTCATGAAATATTGAAGAACTGGTGCTCTGTAGTTTTGTTTCTGTGAGATTCACAGAAGTGCAGCTAGCGTCTCACGGGTCCCCCTGTGAGCATCAATCGTAGATCAAGGACAAGTTGTTCCACTTTAGATGTGCCATCAAAACAAACTGGGGCAGTTTGTGGGAGGAAGAAAATGGAATGAAATTTTTTGCTCTTGCCGGCACAACTTTGACTTTCAAAGAGCTCAAGTTAGTTTTCCGTAGTCATTTATGGTTTTATGTCTTTTACCCCCATTAATTAGCCGACTCCCACAACACCCTTCCAGAGCAGATGGAAAGTTATCCATAGCCGCTGTTTTCCTTCATCTGCTCCAGCTCAGCCCTTTAGGCAGGGGTTCAGCGTGAGTCTCAGCTTAACGTGTTATCTTGTGTGGGCTTCAAGCTGCCATCTCACACGCTGTGCTGCAACCACAGTTCCTTTCCATTACTTGCTTTTACTTTACTATTTCCTCTAATTTTTTTTTTTAGGCTTCACAGAATTAGCATTTCTCTGAAGTTCATCCTTTGCTCCTATTGCCCTTCCTTTTCTCTTAGGACATCTTGAACCGCTTTTTTCCCAGTTTTTGTCCACGTGGTTATCCTGCCAAGATACTGTGAGTTCACTGGTTATTCTCCAGCTGTTTCAGTTGTTACACCCTCAGATATTCTGTGATTATGGTGCTGTTTACATCGCTGTTCATATAATGCGAGTGCATAGTCTGTTAGCTCTGTCACCTGCCTTTTCACACACAAAGTTTTCACTCGCAGGCCAACATCGGTAGGTATAAGCCATGACCTTTTTTATGGTACTTTTTGCTTTTTAAAGGATATCCATGAACATGTAGGAAAGCCCATGTTAGACCATCCACCCAGATGTTTTTCCCTCTTGGTGTGTTCATATTTTTTTAAATACATTTAAGGTGGGATAGAGAGGATAAGGAAAAGTTACAATTTGCTTTATGAGTTTGGATAGTGACAGGGTTCCCTGAAATTTTGCATAAGACACTAGCAAAACATTTGCTATAAGATACTACCAAAAATATGTCCTCAAAATTGTTCTCCTTTTACCCACTCAATCCATTTGTTTACTTTAGTCACGGATCCGGTTACAGGGTCTTTTCATTCTTGTTGGACACGTCTGGTTTCTGTTTATCCTAAGAAGTAACTTTTCTGTGGCAGGTAGGTCTCAGGAGGAAATCTGAGGGGGGCTGTGCAGGATGCAAACATGGACGGTGACAGACCATGTGTATCATGACCGGCTGAATAAAAAGGATTAATAAAAGTGAGAAATGGTATGGGATTTTTACTGTCACTTGTGAAGTTGTACCTAGAGGTCCGAAGGCTCCTTCTTACTCCTTGCACAAAAAGTACATCGGTGTCTCACCCTTTTAGGACTGTAATATAATGTCAGGGTTGGCGTTTGAGCTCCAGTGACGGTGTAGGATGTGTGATGTGCCTTTGGGCTAGGAAATCTTGGAGATGACACTTGCAGAATTTCAGATGACATTTTCCAGGGGAAGAAGTGTTGCTGCCACTACCAGTCAGCAGTTCTGGTCCTTTTACTGCTCTAGCAGGCAGCGGGGGCTTGCTTGCCACAAAGGTTTCAGTGGCTGTCAGAGTGCTGAGCCTCCTGGGCTGCTGATGGGTGACATTGCCCCGTTGCTAACCGTGATGGATGTGGTTCTTGCTCTGATTGGGTGACATTTGATCTAGAAGCGAGCAAGCCAAAATGCCACAGGTAACGCTCAGAACAGACGTCCAAAATATATCAACTTGCAGCTTACGTCAAAACGTGTAGCAATTCTGCAGAGGATCTGGCATTAGTGACCCGTACAAGGCTCTTCTTTTTGTACTCGCGCAGTGCCGTGGAAGCTCATAAAGCCCCTTCACAGATGTGCTACGGAGCATCTTTGCCTACGGACTTAATCTGCACATCTGTGCTGGTTCCTCAGCCCCTTGCTTTGGCGGTAGGCTGCTGTTGACAGCTGGACAGTTGTGTTAAGTTACATGAAAGTGCTGATGTTTGAAATGCTGTGTTCAGTGCACTACGCCTTTTTGCTGCAATGCAGTTTTTTTTTTCCATTAGCGACATAAAATCATATCATTTTAATTGGAGTGTTTGACTACAAGTGGTGAGATGGTTGGTATTTAGGATACCTCAGATGAATTGAGGGATTGGGGTAAATGTATTAGCCCCAGCTACCTTGAATTCAGGTGCTCACCAATGGAATAATTAACAATACTGGTTTCACAGTTAATGGCCAGTCCTACTAGGAGAGTTTTACGTGTATTGAAATAGTACCTGGAGACTATCTGTAGACTCATTTGGCTATATTTCTTAGGGTAAGTATGCTTGGATAAGCTAATGGTCATCACACAGTTTGTATCTCGTTGTTTGCATTCTAGTAATGCAAGTGTAATCCTCCTGTTATTCATGAATCAGGAAAAATGTTGTGATAGGTATTATACAGATAAAACCAAAAATGTGGCACTTGCCTGAAAGAACTGGCACCCTGATTACAAGAGGAGGGAGAAAGTGGATCTTGGCAGATGGAAGCAGTGATGTGGTAGTAGTCAGCATGGTGGGTTATTCCTCTGACTTACTGGTCATCTGGTTTGGGTTTCTTACAAGTGAAGGTACAGCGTGGGAAAACTCACTAAGGTGGCGCATTTTGGAATTTAGCAGTGAGCTGTAGACGTTGTACAAAGAGGGACTCACCCTCTAAGTAAGGAGTGCAAGATGGTAAGATGGGAATAGATTTTGGGGAGTCTGGACAGTGAAGACATGGTTTGCTTCTCCACCTCTCATGCATAAAGATGCTGTGAAGGGGAACGACCCATTTAGTTTTGGGTTTTTCTGGGTGTCCCCCCTGCAAAAGAAAAGTGAATTCTAGTTCACACTAGCCTTGTATCTTTTATTGGTCCTAGCTCTACTGAGTTCCAGTAAAATATAAAATAAAAAAAAAAAACAATTCTTTATTTTAGGAACTACATCCAGCCCTTTTTAGTTTCTAAATATGTACTGTATGAAGAGGGTGCATTTCTAAATATAGAAATATTAATGCTGTTAAATACAGACTATTTCAGGCATACCTTACATTTAAAATTGTCTAGGCATACCTTAGATTTAACTTAACAAATTTAGCACGTTGATTTTTAGCACTTTGTTAAATCTGAAACTTTTAAAATTAGGTAGGCAGATCATTCTGCTGCTTTTGAAGTGGTTTGTTCTTTCTAGAAAAGTGGAAACGAGCAGTTATAGTGAGGAGCTTTTCATCTTAATCAGCTTTCTGTAGGCAGACTGCCATCAGGACTCTTTTAAGGAGTAAAAAGTAAACCAAGAATAGCAAGTGAGGATGATTACATTTCAAACTCTTGTATGCTGAGCTCAAAGAATCTGAACACGTTTGGCAAGGACTAGTTCTTAGTTTTGTGTGGAATGATTGCTTAAAAGGAAGAGATTTAGCTCTTTCTATTTTTAGTTTTTTCCCCATGAAACTGCATAATTTCTACTTAAGATTTTTACTGTGTGCCAAATAGACATCAGGGTGGAGCTAACGTGCCCTTCTGAAGTCAGATTTTTCTACCACAAAAATCTGGGTTTTTTTTATTTGTCAGATTCATTAGTCAAGTATAATTTGCACTGTGACTTGATTTTTGTGTATACAAAATGAAAAACTTACCCTATTTGTTCTTCCGTCACAAGAAG